TGTGTCCCAGAATAAATTTTCCATTGTAATATATGCTCTTATTTTTTGATGTTTTATCATAATGAGCACAATGTAATCTCACTTCTAATTTGTCTTCACTCAAAAGGAAGGCGGTTTCCTTGGATTTTACAGAGGCCTGATGCCTACTATATTAGGAATGGCTCCATATGCAGGTATTTTCAAATTTGGCAGAAAGTTTTTTATTTTCTTCTAGAAATTATTTTTAAAGTTTAGCATTTTATATTTAAGCCCTAATCCATCTGGAATTACTTTTTCCTCTGTATGAATAACCATCTGACCATTTATTATATCGTCCTTCCTTTTCCCAGTGATCTGCAGTGCTGCTTCTTAAAACAATAGGGTACAATTTTATAATAAGTCCTTGTATTTAGTAGGACAAGTCCTTTTACCTTATGCTTCTTTTTTTCAGCAATGTAAGGACTATAGACATTTTGCTATTTTGAATCAGTTTTTGATGTTGCACAAAAATCCTTGTTGGGATTTTGAATGAAATTTCATACATTTCTTGGACATTTTTGCTAGATATATTCATAGGTACCTTATAAGCTCTTGTGTCCATTAGAAAATTGCATTTAGCTTATTGCTTAATTTAATTTTTTTATGTGATCTTATAGCTAGTCATTATCCTACTTGTCCGTTTAATAGCTGGCCACCATGTTACTTGTAGATGCTTTGGGTTTCCTGTGTGGGCCATGACATCCTGTGCAAATAATATCATTTTTCTTAACTTCCATTCTCATCCTTATGTCCTTATTCATCTATGTTTTTCTTATCTTACTGTAATAGCTAAGGACTTACAATGCAGTGCAGTAGTGAAGAGAAGTGATGTTACTGGGCATTTTGGCTCATCAATGATTTTAAAGGGACTGTTTCTAATATTTCTTCATCTATCATAGTGTTTACTATAGTATATGTCATTTATCAGGTTGAAGAAGTTTTGGTAAGAATTTTTATCTGAATTGGTGTAGAATTTTATCAGATACCCTCTTCTGCATTTACTGAGATGATAATGTCTTAGTTTTGAAAGCCCACATAAACTTACTTTGTGGTGGTGTCACTGGAGCAATAACACAGACAATATCGTAAGTTTCTTCATCAATTTAATTCAAATCACAGTGGAGTTATATAGTTTTCTCTTTTAATCTGTTAACATAATGACTGATATTAATAAATGTTTTACTGTCACCCCAAATTGGTTATGACATAGTGATACTTCTATATCCTGTTGGATTCAATTTGATAATTGTTAGAACTTTTACACCTGTATTCATAAGCAAGATTAGCTTTAATTTTCTTTTCTTCTAATATCTTTTTGTGGTTTGGGTATCAAAGTTATATAGATGTCACAGAATGAGCTGACGAGTATTTATTTTCCATCCTCAGGAAGAATCTATATAAGATAAGAATTATCTGTTTCTTGCAAGTTTTCATTGTGGGAGGATTTTTAAATACTGGTTTAATTTCTTAAGTGGTAGGTTTTCTATGTCCATGTGAGCCATTTTTAGTAATTCATACCTTTCTTTACATAGTGAACTTGACTGTTTTGGGTTCATTTTCAACTTTTTTGGTGAAAGACTTTCCTTATTTCTTCATGTTTTTTTACATCTTCCCTCTCTGGCATGCCCTCTTTTTCATTTTTGTCTGTTTTATCAGTTACCAGATTTTGCAAAGAAACAATTTTGGCTTTCTTCCTCTTCTCTGGTTTACCTTTATTTTCCATTACATTGATTTTTGTTTGTATCTTAATTATCTCCATTCCTAAATCTATTCTTCAGTTGGATTCTTTCCTCATTAATTTTCAATCTTTGGATTTTTTCCCCCCAAATGTAAGCATTTTTTTCCTAATAATGCTTTAGCTCTATCCCATTAGTTATTTTATTTATTTGTTTTTATTTAAAATTTGGAAATTTTCAGACACATTCAAAAGTAGACAATAGTGTACCTAAACCACTTTTTCCCATTACCTAGCTTCAACAGTGGCCAACTCATTAGTTTTGTCTCACCTAATTATTCCCTCTATCCTGATCCCAAATTGTTTTAAAAAAAAATCCACTTTATTTCATGCACAATATTTCAGTATTCAGTTCTCTGTGCTTTTTTTTAAAGCATAAATCACATACCATCATAAAACTTTTAAAAAGTCTTAATGTCATCTAGTATATTGTACTGTTCAAATCCTGCCCCTTCCTATCTCATAATTATTTTTTGGAGAAATCCAAATTAATATTTGCTTTGTATATCTTTTTTCATCCTTTTATTTTCTACCTTTTCATGTCTTTATGTTTTAAGTATTTCTTCTGTAATCATCATCTTGCTGGATATTTTAAAAAATCAAGTCTGTACAATGTTTTAATTGCTAATTAGTCCACTTACTAATTTATTGTGTTGATTGATATATTGGACTTGTTTCTATACCTTGCTATTTGGTTTCTACTTGTAACTTTTCTTTTTAGTTATTTTTATCCTTGCTTGCCTATTTTTTTGAATCCTTACTGTTTTACAAATATATACATTTATTTTCCTCCTCCTGTGCTCTTTGGCCTTTAATTATGAGTTCATTTCTTGATCTTAATCTCTGAGTTTCTGACCCAGTGATTCCATCATCTGTAGTCCCAATGGCAGGATCCATCTTTATGGCTTTACTGCTAATGGCATCAGTATGTAGAATTATTCTACTTCACTCATGGGCCCACAACTTCCAAGTGGGCCCCAGCTTATATTTTTGGGAGGTGCTGGTGCTGGGAACTCTTCTCATCCTTTTCGCAAGCCCAGCAATAGATACAGTTGGTTTACAGTATCAAAGTCCCACAGAATACCTATATTGTCATTATGCTGAAAGCAGAACTCTTTAATTTTTTGGCTGTATTTTCTTCTCTTTCTAGTTTTCTTAATTTTGTGTTTGGTTTTCAGTTCTTAAAATTTATTTTTACATGGTTATACAATTGTATAATTTTATTTCATAGTTTTTCCCATTTCCTGAATACTTTTCACATTTTTGAATATCATCCACAAACATCATTTTTATTAATTTGTCATATTTCAGTAAATACCATTCCATATCATTTAGGCATTTCTAATTTTTTAAAATTTATGTTTAATTTACTATGAATTTCCTTGTGAGCTTTTTCTGTTTTTTAGATTAGGTCCTTAGATTTACCAAATATTAAAGTGTATGAATATTCTAAAATTATATATCATCATTTCAAAATACTATAAGATTATAAAAGTTTTGTATAAAGAATAAATGCATATATTGAGGTATTATCCTAGGCTGAATTTTAGTTAGTACTTATTTGTTCTTAAGCATGAAATATTTTAAATATGTTTTTAAAATTTAGTAGCAAGGTACTTAAGTAATGCTTAGTTGATAGGAATGCTTGACTTCTATTCTTGATTTTTTTAATGTATGACTCTAATGTGTCTATTATAAAATCATGTGAATGTTCAGCAAGCACCAGGTACATATTATCAATAACTTAATTCAATATTCATTAGAGCCATATGTCTTGTGAGCTAATAACGTTTCTATGGTTACAACTCTTCCTTAAAGACAAAATTAAAAACTTAGTTAAAATAAGAATGCTTTGTCACTTTTGAACTTTTTGCATCTATCTTACATATCACCGTCATTGTTATTATAAATACAAGTTGTCATATTTACTTGTAATTATTAATCATGAATTTAATTTTAATTCATTTAATTTTTATTCATGTGAAACCTTGAAACACTCTTAATTCTATTACAATATAAGGTGGCATTATGTTCAACTTCTGCCTTTATTCAGTGAAGTAAACTATAAGTGTGTGAAAACTAGTACTATAATTTTTTATAGATGGTAATTTTGTTGTGTTTAGGTTATTTATAAATAGTAATTAAATCTTTTTACCTTAGATTAAGCCAAACTAAACAGTAATTAAATTTTTTTATCCTAGATTAAGCCAAACATCAAAAATCAGGAAATGTATAGTTCCTTGAGTTAATTGGTTATTATGTCAGAATAGTGTCTTTTTGCAGCTCATGTTCTGTGAAGCACTGTGGTGAATTCACGTTTTGTTTTTCAGGTGTTTCATTTTTTACTTTTGGCACCTTAAAGAGTGTTGGGCTTTCCTATGCTCCTACCCTTCTTGGAAGACCTTCATCAGACAATCCTAATGTCTTAGTTTTGAAAACCCACATAAACTTACTTTGTGGTGGTGTCGCTGGAGCAATAGCACAGACAATATCGTAAGTTTCTTTATCAACTTAATTCAAATCGCAGTTACCCAATCCTGACTTTCAGCATTGTTTAATTATTTTATTTTTTCTAATAGATTATTAAAACATAGGATCTCTTGCAAAATATAAGTATTAATTTAATAAATTTTTTCCAGATGTGCTGCACTTTTAAGCATATCATAAATAACTATGTGCCAAATTGACAACTAAATTTGAACCCACTAGTTTCCTACAGGTTCATTTAAAAGAAAGAAAGCTAAAAACACTGAGTATAGTCTTCATCCATATTTTTCATTAATTACCCTATCTGAAGTTTCTGCAGTTTGAGCCATTTACTTGTGTCTTTGTGTATGTATGTGTGCATGTGTGTGTGCATGCTCATGCATGTAAGGAAGCACAACTTCTCTTGCACTAAATCTTGAAGGCCTCCTTTGTGTCATGTAGTGTACTAGGCATTGGGATACTCACTAAAGGAAAAACAGAGCTATTACCTTAAGAAGCCTATATTCTAATTAAGTCAGCAACAATACAGTGGAGTTATATAGTAATATATGTTGTAGTGGGAACATAGATACTTGTATTACTATATTGTAATTGGAAAAGTGGCTTCAAGAGTGACTGAATAGAGATAAAGAGGCTAGAAATACTAAGAAGCAGGAACTTCATAGGAACAGGAAGAAAAGCTTTCTGTTACTGAAGAGTATCCTGAAAAAAAGGAAGACAGGAAGTAGTCATGTCACAGAGACTCAGAAAAGAGTGTCTAATAGGAAAAGAAAAGTCAAAGTAAGATAAGTTTGGAAAAGTAAGGTGTTCATTGGGTTTTACAATTAAGGAATACCTTTGTGAAAGCATATTTAGTGTGTTTGTATGGGGGAGCAGATCATACTAGGTTGAAGGTAAAGAAGAAAAGGTGTGTCATTTACGTTTAGAAACCTGGCTGCGGAACCTTGTTCATTTGCAGAGACATGATCACTTCTAGTTATTTTGATTCTCTTCTTGGTTTTACTGCTCCTTTATTTTATTACTCATTTCCAAGTTAGAGCCTTAAAATCTGTTTTTTCTTTCCCACTTCTTTCCTTAAACTATATTCTAGACGCATTGACTCTTAACAGATCCACTGGCTTCTTCTCAGTTCTTTTACCCCTCCTTCGAATTGTTCTACCCCCTTGTTTTTTTGGTTTTTTTTTCGTATCATTAATCTACAATTACACGAGGAACATTATGTTTACTAGGCTCCCCCTTCACCAGGTCCCCCCCACAACCCCATTAGAGTCACTGTCCATCAGTGTATTAAGATGCTGTAGAATCACTACTTGTCTTCTCTGTGTTGCACAGCCCTCCCCATGCCCCCTCCAACATTATACATACTAATCATACTACCTCCTTTCTTTCCCACCGCCCTCCCCCCCTTATCCATCCCTACCCACCCATCCTCCCCAGTCCCTTCCCCTTTGGTAACTGTTAGTCCATTCTTGGGTTCTGTGATTCAGCTGCTGTTTTGTTCCTTCAGTTTTTGCTCTGTTCTTATACTCCACAGATGAGTGAAGTCATTTGGTACTTGTCTTTCTCTGCCTGGCTTATTTCACAGAGCATAATACCCTCTGGCTCCATCCATGTTGTTGCAAATGGTAGGATTTGTTTTCTTCTTATGGCTGAATAATATTCCATGTGTATATGTACCACATCTTCTTTATCCATTCATCTACTGATGGACACTTAGTTTGCTTCCAATTCTTGGCTATTGTAAATAGTGCTGCGATAAACATAGGGGTGCATATGTCTTCTTCAAATTGGGCTGCTGCATTCTTAGGGTAAATTCCTAGAAGTGGGATTCCTGGGTCAAATGGTATTTCTATTTTGAGCTTTTTGAGGAACCTCCATACTGCTTTTCACAATGTTTGAACTAATTTACATTCCCACCATCAGTGTAGGAGGGTTCCCGTTTCTCCACAACCTTGCCAACATTTGTTGTTGTTTGTCTTTTGGATGGTGGCGATCCTTACTGGTGTGAGGTGATATCTCATTGTGGCTTTAGTTTGCATTTCTCTGATGGCTAGCGATGTGGAGCATCTTTTCATGTGCTTGTTGGCCATCTGAATATCTTCTTTGAGGAAGTGTCTGTTCAGATCCTCTAAAGAGATTACTTTTGTATATTTTGTTTCAGGCAATTTTTTAAATGTAGAACTTTCTCTGGTCTCTACATGCAATTCTCTGTATTGTTAATTTTAGCCTTCGGGGAAATTTTGTTGGTCTACTATATACAGGGGAACTTGATGAATAGTCATAAGGTAGTGATTCTCAACTGGGGGTGATTTTGCCTCCAGTAGACATATTTATTTCTGGAGACATTTTTGGCTGCCACAGCTGGGGGTGTGCTACTGGCTTCTAGTAGATAGGGGGCAGGGGTGCACTGAAATATCCTACTGTGCACAGGAATTAATAAACCAAGAATTTAATCAACCCAAAATGTCAATAGTGCCAAAATTGGGAAACTGTGTCTTAGGGTTATAATAATGAAAAGTACCCAGTTTGTTTCTTCAGGAAATGGTATTTAATCTGGTTTGAGGAATGAATAGAACTTGGTATTGTGATGATGGGAGAGAAGAAATCATCTCTCCTGAAGGAACCACATAAGCAAAGGCAAGGAGATCTCTGTATTGGTATTTGATTTTTATTCATGTACTTATATTCTGACTCCCCAGAGGAGGCAAAACATCAGAGAATAGAAACACACTATTTCCTAGCAAATATAGGGCTTTATATTCAATAATTGTTGAGTGGAAAACTAAAAATCATTTTTAAGTTCTGCCTTTTTTTTCTTTCAGCTACCCATTTGATGTAACTCGTCGACGAATGCAATTAGGGACTGTTCTTCCAGAATTTGAGAAGTGCCTGTAAGTTCTCCATTTGTCATTGTTCTTTTTCTTTAAGAAATGTTAAGTTTAAAATAAATAGGGAGAGAGGACTGTGGTCTCACCAGTAAGTCTGGATCCTCCGTTTTATCTATCATAGTTTACTTTGGTAATATTATAAGGTCTTTATCAAATTCTAATCCTGCTATTAAAAATTTCACTTTAAATTCTCAATCGTAATATAAGTTGGTCTTGGGGCTAGTAGTACAGTACAGCATGGTGAATATAGCCAATGATTCTGTAACATCTTCGTTTGTTGACAGATAGTAACTGCACTAGAGGGGGTGAGGATTTAATAATATGGGTAACTGTTGGACCACCGTGTTGTATACTTGAAACCAATGTAAGATTTTATGTCAGTGATACCTCAATAAAAAAAAAGTTCACTTTAGAGCAGCTCTGTTAAACAGAAATATAATGTAAGCACTTAGGTAACTTAAAATATTCTGGTTGCCACATTTCTATAAAGTACAAAAAGAAACAGGTGAAATTGTTTTAAAATATTTTTATGTAGCCTAACGTATCAAAAGTATCATCACTTCAACATTTCAATATTTCCATCCTTTTTATTTTTTTAACACAAAGCATTTGAAATCCAGGGTTTATTTTATAGTCACAACACATCTCAATTTGGACTTGGCACATTTCAAGTGCTCAGTAGCTATATGTGGCTAGTGGCTACCATTATTGTACAGCACAGCTCTAGAGTTTTTTATAATCTGTGGAGATTTAGAACCATTCTGTTTGACTGGTGATGTTTCCCTCATGGGAAGAGGAGAATGTTCAGGACCTTGAATGGCCTTTATTCACACAAAAGATTTTTTGGCGATTTCAGTCTAAATTGCCTATTAAGGGAAAGTCTAGGCTCAAAATGTTGGTTTGAAAGGAAAGAACAGTGTTTGAAACAAGAAAGTCTTTATTGCCGAAATCTGATAGCCCTCCAAGCTTTAGTTCTATAAGCATGTGCTAGTTATAGTACAGAGCTTGAGCTGAAGTGAAAGCTTGAAGGACATCCTTTAAAATGACTACATCAATATTTCAAACATTATTATGAAATAGTGTTGCCAGTAAATGTCACAGACACAATACAAACAAATTATATTGTTCTTCACAAGCCCTGTAATTCTGTGCATGATGTTTGTCCTTACTTGGAATGAATTGCTCTTTTATTGTGAATTTTCAGCTTGTTCTAACACATGCCTTCCAAAGCTATTCAAGATGGCATTTTAGCTTCTTTTAAAAATGCTGTTATGGATCCTGAAATTGCTCTTTATGAGTGGATATAAAGATGTCATCATTTAACCTTTGTCTTTCAGTACCATGTGGGAGACTATGAAGTATGTCTATGGACAACATGGAATTCGGAAAGGATTATATCGTGGTTTATCTCTTAACTACATTCGCTGCATTCCCTCTCAAGCAGTGGCATTTACAACATATGAACTTATGAAGCAGTTTTTTCACCTCAACTAAAAAAAAATTGTGATTTGTTTTCCTTCATTAACCTTCAGAGGGAAAAATAAAATATTACTTTGATTTGGGGGGAACATTACTTGAAGGGGCTATTTGTCCTATCACAGGAAACACTGGTATTTTAGTACTTGATTTTTTTATTCTTAAGAAATCAAAAGTGCTTACTATGCTTTTTGATGCGAAAAGTTATACCTTAGAACACTGAAAAAAATCCCTAAGCTGATGCTGGGTAATCATTTAGATTATCTGAAACCATTTTTTTAAAAATATGTTCCTTGGAAGTAGAACTGATTTAAAATGGGATTCAAGATGTTACCATTAGCTTTATCATGCTGTTCCAAGCTTTTAATTGTAATTATGGTTTTCAAAGACTCTAACATTAGTTATTATTGTAATAAACAGGCTTGGTTGTATTACAGCAGAATGATGAAAACTGAATTTTTAAGTTATATAAAACATAGCTTAGAGGCCAGTATGAAGATGATTCTTATTGTCTCTCTTCTCTCAATTCTGCTTCACTGGATAATAGGACAAACTTTTTCATTTAATTTTTTGAATAAAATAAATGTATTTGAAAATTAGCCTTGTAGATACTCAACAATAAGTAAAGAATTTTCAGGTTTGCTTAAATGTTATCACTTGGTTCTATGACTCATTAAATGTGTTTTTAAAAGTCATTGTATTTCCCAAAGTCAGTAATAAGAAGTACTGAATATCTTTGTTTTCAAAACAGGTTAACATTATAGATTTGCTTTTGTTAGGTGATTTGGTATATGCTAGAAAATGTATCTACATGGATTGTAAAATATCCATTAATATAGATGTGAATGTCAAATATTTCTAAGGTATTGTGTCATGATACATCAACTAGTTCTTCCATATAAAATAATTCTAGTGCATATAAGCTTAAATAGAAATGTAAAACATGATTTGAATTGCTATCTTTCATATTAAAATGGTTTAAAATGTAAGAATTCCATTTATTGTGTTAAGGGTACTCTTTATATTTGATTATAAGCATGACAGAATGGGAGAGGAACAATTATAGTTGGCCTCAGAAACAGTGATTTCTAGTGACATGATTTTTTGGGGGGGGCCAATGCAAACATTTATTTGCTTTAACTTTATAGTACATTTTTTTAAGTTGAGGTATAGTTATTGACATTTAACATTATATTTTAGTTTCATATGTACAGTGTAATGATTCCATGTTTATATACACTGCAAAATGTTCACCACAATAAGTCTAGTTAACATCTGAATTGATGTGATATTGAAGATATTAGAAAACTAAGTTAAAAGTGTTACTTCTGCTTCAATTTTTATTTTTTTGCACAAAAAATTTTTGTCATACCTTGGTAAAAATTAGATGAACTGGTTTCATTTTCAAAGTCTTTATTTTATTATCTTTGTATGATTTATAAGTGTATCCACAGGTAGAAATACATGTGTTCATAAAACTGTTTTGTATATTATCATTTCTGGCCTACACTGTAGCTAAATATTGTTATCGAATATCAAGATAATTTAAATGTATAAAATAAGTATCTCAGTTATGGTATCATTAAAAGAGAATTGTATTTTTTTAAATAAAAATTTGTATTCTATGTCTGTTATAGAATACACAGGGTATTAAAAATTTATTCATATAGACAATTATTCCTCTTAATTATTTACATTAATAGTTAATAATTATTTACATTAATATGCTAACAGTTAAATAACTCTTAGAAGAAAATCTAGGTAAAAGTCTCTTGAACATAAGCATGAGTAATTTTTTTCTGGATATATCTCCCCAGGCAAAGGGAACAAAAGCAAAATAAACAAACAAGTAGGACTACATCAAACTAAGAAGCTTTTGTACAGCAAAATAAACCATCAACAAAACAAAAAGGCAGCCTGTTGTGTGGGGGAATATATTTGTAAATGATTTATCTGATAAGGGGCTAACATCCAAAATATATAAAAAACTCTTATGACTCAAAAAACAAATACAGTGAAAAAACAAATAACTCAATTAAAAAATAGGCAGAGGACCTGAACAGACATTTTTCCAAAGACGACTACAGATGGCCAACAGGCACATGAAAAATTGCTCCGCATCACTAATCAGGGAAATGCAAATCAAAATCACAGTGAGATACCACCTCACTCCCGTCAGAATCGTCACATGCAAAAGACAAGGAATAACAAGTTGGTGAGGATGTGGAGAAAAGGGAAACCTCCTACCCTGTTGGGAATGTAAATCAGTGCAGCCACTATGGAAAGCAGTATGGAGGTTCCTCAAAAAACTGAAAATATAAATGCCATGACCCAGTAATTCAACTTTAGGAATGTACCTGAAGAAAATGAAATCTCTGATTTGAAAAGATATACACACCCCTCTGTTTATTGCTGCATTATTTAAACTGCCAAGATACACAACCAAAGTGTCTGTCAACAGATGAATGGATAAAGAAGATGTGGTACATATATATAATGTAATATTCATCCATAAAAAGAAAAATCCTGCCATTTCCAACAACATGGATGGACTTAAAGGATATTATGCTCAGTGAAATAAGCCAGGCAGAGAAAGACAAATACCATACTATTTTACATACATGTGGAATCTAAAGACAAAAGAAATTAACAAAATAGCAGTAGAGGGGCTCTCTTGTCCCCTCCAGGCGTGAGCCAGGAGATCTGTCCTCTCGCTTTCTCTCTAAATAAAGCCTCTGCTTTGCTCTCCTAAAAAAAAAAAAAAATAGCAGTAGATTCATAGACACTGAAAAGTGACTGGTGGTTGCCATGTGGGAGGGGTTAGGGTAGGAGGATGAAATAGGTGAAGGGATTAAAAAAGGACAAAATCTCTATCATAATATAAATTAGACATGGGGCTGAAAGTACAGCATAGACAATATAGTCAATAGTTCTATAACATTTTTCTATGTTGACAGTTTCTACACTAGTTGAATGAAGATTTAATTATATAGATAATAAATCACTATATCGTATACTTGAAACCACTATAATATTGTATATCAACTATACTATAGAAAAAGAAAGTTTTATTTATATTTTGACAATTCTCTTTTAACATTATTAAAGCAATTGTTATACTAAACATAAGCAGTCAGAACAGAAGAATATTTTAAATAATGACTATATCTGATTTACTTCAGATTAGTAGCCTAAGTGCATCTTGCTGGGTTATCATCCATTGAAGATTGACAGTTTGTTTCTGTTTTGATCTCTGCTGTCACTCTTTTCCTGCCTGTCAGCGGGTATATCCCTCTGCATGTAGAATGGGACAGTGGTCTAGTCTAAGGATTGAAAAGTGAGGTACCACTCCTAACTGTCAATGATTGCCTCTGTGGAGGTGGAAAGGTTAGTGGATATATAATAATATCTTACCCTATTCACCCCCAGGGTACTCAACATCCATTTATTCAGCAACATTATGTGCCAGGCATTATATAAACACTATGGGGGAGCTTGCCTTGGGAGGTCATTAGCTGTATTTACAATACAATTTGCATGTGCAATAACATCTAACACTGGTTATTTCCCTAATAGAGTATGTACCATAGTTTATGGCAACTGCCTGTTTACCTATGCCCCTTACTCTGCCCCCCATAGGTTCTTTTAAGGGCAGAGCCATGCTGTCATCCCCTATAAGAAGCACAGTCTGTGTCACCATAATAGCTGCTCAGTAATGTTTACTGATGAGAAGAATGAAGGCTAAGTCCCTGTTTTTGGAGACATGTTCTAGTACAGAGAAATGAGGCACACATAATCCATGGAAAGAGCAACTTAGAAAGAAAATCATTTGGCTTGTTTCACAGAAGTGTCTTGTTGCTAATTTGAGCCAAGATGAATGGCAAATAATAAAACCTATATTATATGAGTAATGCATTGCTTTGCAGAGTTGGGCCAATGATATCTGACACATTTATGCAGCAATGTACACTTTACACAGTTTCTCACATCCATTCTTTGAATACCAGATACTGTGTGAGACACTGGAAATCAATGATAAATAATGTCATTTATATTTTGAGGACTTACATGTTCCATGCTTTGTTTTACGCACTTTTGATGTGGGATATCAAGCAACTTGCCCAACTTCGCACAGTAAGTGGTAGATCTAGGATTCAAATTCAGCTACTCTAAACTTACAGCATAGTATGCTAGTCATGATGCTATACTTCAATAGAGTAGTATCCTGTTCAGATTAAACTCTAACAGGTCAATATGTCAAATAAAAATGATTACCGTTTGTAGAAAGTGCTTATTATGGAAGTAAATAGATTACAGGATAGAGAATAATTGTGGGCTATACAGGGGGCTAGTTTAGAATGACCAAGAATGTGTACACTACTTTAAACTGGTACATGGAGGTTAAAAATGAAACAACCATGCAGAGTTGTGGGAGAAGAATGGCCCATGTGAAACAGGAAAAAGCTTGGGTTAACATAAGAATTGTCATAAGGCCAGTGTGAATGAAGCATTGCAAATAAAGAAGGAACAACAAATGGAGTTGGAGAAGGAGATAAGGACCAGATCATGTAGGACTCTGTAGGATACGGTAATGGTTTGGTCTTTTGTTCTAAACTCAATGGGAAGCCCTGGAAGATTTTCAGCAGGAGAATAAAATTGTCTGATTCTGTTTTTACAGAAGTAATTCTGCTTTATCAGCAGTGGTTTGCAGTTAAAACGTATAACAACAAAATAAAAAACACAAAATAACAAACCCAAAGATGGATTCTTTGAAAAGATCAACAAAATTGGTTATTTGCTAGCTAGACTGATAACTAAAATAGAAAGAACATAAGTTACCAATATCAAGAATGAAAAACAGGATATCACTATAGAGCCTATGGATATTAAAAAGATAAGAGATTTCTTAATAACTCTTTGTCAAGGAATTTAACAATTTAGATGAAATGAATAGATGCCTTGAATATCACAGTCAAAACTGACATAGAAGCAACAAAATTTGCATAGCCAATTAAAGAAATAGAACTTAATTTAAAAAATCCTTCCACAAAGAAACTCCAGGCTCTGACAGTTAAGTGTTCGACATCTAAGAAAGAATCTTGTACAAACTTTCAGAAATAGAAGACAGACAGCACTTCCCAACTCATTTTATGATGCTAGTATAACTTTGATACCTAAACTTGACAAAGTTATAATTAAAATTTGGATCAGAATTCTTCAAGAGCAAAGATGGAAAAATTCTTAACTACGTATTAGTAAATCAAATCCACCAGTACATAAAAACTTTATTATATCATGACCAAGTTGGGTTTGTCAAAGGATTGGCAAAATCTGCTTAACAATCAAAAGTCAACAGTGTAATTTCTAGTAGTGACAGCATGAAGGAGAAAAACCACATGATACTTCATAGAAGCAGAACAAGCACTTGGCAATATTCAGCATCGATTCATTATAAAAACGAATCACAGAAATGCAACTGGCAGGGAGGGGCTCAAGATCGTGGCGTGAGTAGGGTGGTGGAAATCTGAACAGACCAATTTACCAGCAACGAAATTGAACCGGTAATCAAAAAACTACCTAAACACAAAACTCCTGAACCAGACGGCTGCACTGCTGAATTTTATCAAACATTTACTGGAGAGCTAATACCCATTCTCCTTAACGTTTTCGAAAGAGTAGAAGAGGAACTACTTCTAAACTCATTCTATGAGGCCAGCATCAATACCAAAACCAGGCAAAGACACCACAAAAAAGGAAATTACAGACCAATATCTCTGATGAACATAGATGCAAAAATACTCAATAAAATATTACTAAACAGAAGTAAAAATAGATAAAAAAAAAAAGATGATCCATCATGATAAAGTAGGATTTACTCCAAGGATACAAGGATGGTACAGCATTCAAAAATCCATCAACATCATCCACCACATCAACAAAAAGAAGGACAAAAACCACATTATCATCGCCATAGATGCTGAAAAAGCAT